TGATGTCTTATAAGTAGACGGTCATATTTAAATTTTATCTCAATTAAACTCCATCTATAACTCAAATTTCATCATCTTATATTTGATAGAAGAGAAAAAAAGAAACATTAGAGAGAAATAGAGAGTTTATATATGGTTGACTCACTTCATCTGCTAGAATCCCTTATGTAGCCAGACATGTTGACAATGTTTTTATTTTTTCCATGTCAGTACCACTTTTTTGGTACTGGAGAAGAATTTTTGCAAAAGTGGTTTATCATTACATAATTAGAAATATTTTTATTGCAATTTACATTAGCGTTGAGAATACTCTTAGTAGCTAGTTTCAAGATGACATCGTGACAATTTTGTAATGTACATTCTTTTATTCTAATTACATTTTGGTTGCTTTCTCTATTCTATGTGTAAATAATGCATGTCCACCCTTTTCTCTCTCTCTCTTTTTTTTTTTTTTTTTTTTTGGGGTGCATGGAAAGTAACAAAAATAAATAAATAAAAAAAATTATGCAAGTGTCCTAACTCCTAACAAAAGCGATTCCATTCAAAGGAAAACTTTACAACTCACAATTCACTGAAATTAATTAGCTTCCTCTTTACACCTCCACACTCCATATATTTCCGCAAAATAGGCTCATATTTGAAATCCACTGTGTCAAATAAAGTGTACTTTTTGTTATATTAAATGAGACCTTCACCAGCATGGACACTTCTTTTTGCTCTTATCACAAAACTGCACTAATAGTTACTAGTAATTGATTGATCAATTCATGAATATATAATCAAGCAAAAAAGCAGATTCCGTTGCTGAATATATGGATTTAAATCACAGCTTTTTTATTGCATTCTGTCAATTTTAGTTGCTTGTTTTACCTTATCACGTAATTTACAGTTTTGTGGGACACTTCAAATACTGTTGATATTGAACAAAAATTAAAGTTCAGAATTGTCCAAAATTCGATGATATTTTTCTTTAATGAGTTATCAGTTAACACGTTTTATCTTATTTTTGTTGCATCGTATTGGTATCAAAGATAAATGTTGCCTTCAAGAAGACGTTCCATCAATCATTCTTCACATGACTTCATGGTATCCCGTAAACAAAATAAAGTGAATTTGTCTCAATTCTCAATCCGCATATCCCATTACTGATTATAAAGCACGATATCCCAGCTTTTTATTGCTTTCTGATTAGTTGCTTTCTTGATTTAGCTCAATTATATGTACCTTTACTCTTGATTGTTGGGCTTATTAAGTGATTTACTGCTTTGTGTCTTTTCTTTTTATATAAGAAATTGCAAATTTGTAGGCAACATTGTTATTGAATTAGTTAAAATTTGAAGTTGTCCAAATATTCAATCATATTCTCTACATTTCATGTTTAAAATCAACGAGCTCTCAATCAATATGTTTTATCTCATTTCTGTCGCATCAACTAAAGTACATGAAATTTAGGCATGTTATTCATGTGGCACGGGTAACAATAGAATTGTCCCAATCTTTGACTGGACGCCAGATGAAGAGCAATTGGAGGATCAAAATTATCTAAATAACTCGACCGTTATATTCATTTCTGATTCCATTAGCATTAGCATTAGCATTAGCATTAGCATTAGCATTAGCTTGATGTTTATGTATGTTTAATGGTTTGAACTTAGATAATCAAAATTATCTGAACTGTTGAGAATTATAAACCCTAATTCTATTTCGCTAGAGCAATCAATTTGAAGAAAAAGAATTAACAATTAAAGAACACATGAGATTTACAGATATTCGTCTCAATGATAGATTTCGTCCTTTCCCGCCATTGCAATAATTCACTATGATGAAAAAAAAATTTACAAGAGAAATTCGCATACATATCTTTTCTAACCTCTCTTTATCTCTTTTTCATAATACTAATAAACCCTAAAGCGACTCTCTATTTATAAGATAAATTAGGATAAAATCGAATTTTACAATGATTTTTATTCTTTCATAGAATTTTACAAGAACACATATTCCTAAACAATCTTTAGAGGGTGTTTGACACCCATTTTTATGAAAAAATGAATTTTAAAATAGGAGATTGATGGAGAATGTGTGGATGAAAAATAAGAATTTTTTTTTTTATTTACGTGTAATATTGTTTTAATAAGAATGTGGTTTGAAAAAAAAGAGAAAAAAAATGTAATTTGATAAAAATGAAAATAAAACGGGGCCTTAGTAAAATCTTGATCTAGGAGCTTTGTGCCTAGCACCCCCAAGAGGGGGGCCTCCTGCCCTCCTTCAAACCCCTGTAGCGATCTCATCGTGGAGGTTGATATATGAAATGATAGTAATTAGACTTCACAACTTAAATAAGCAAATTAATACCATAATCAATCTTTGGTGAATAATCATTCGTTATGATAATCTCTTTAATTAAAAGTATGAAATAGTAGGGCCAACATCACATACAATTTTTCAAAGAAATTAGGACCAACTGCAACAAGACATTGTGACTAACTTTATATCTCCAGTCACAAGTCATAACCAAAGCAAGAATTTTTTATCATTATCACGCCAAGGCTAAAGCTAGCGAAATATTCAACGTTGGATTATTGTCGAAAAAGTTTGCGTTCCTTTTTTTAAAGTTTCAGGTAAATGACCGAGGCCGAGACAAATCCTGACATCACACTCATCCCAAGGCTTTTTGGATTGAAACCTGAATGGAGCAGAATAGAGCTAACTTCTTTATCCAAAGATAGCGATTCTTTCTTTTTTATTTTTGGTATTGGTCTGTCTTGAGAGCAACAGAAATAACTTGTTCTATCCAAATTTTGGACCATGGGCAATAACTTCACTAAATCAAAGTGAATTTTTAAATAATATCTATGAGTCCATTGAAATATGTGATTAAAATTCCGTTTGGTAGATGCTAATAAAACATGTATGCACTATTGCAAAGCTTTAATTTGAGTACGCATTGGTGCTATTGTACATTTTGGTATGCCATAACTGATGGGACATTTTTAAAAAAAAAATAATTGATGGGACTTTATATCATAATATATAAAATTTTATAAAGCTATTGTTGGGCAACTAGTTAATTTATAAATATAATTGCTCAACCAACCTTTTATTCACGCATTACATGAAACTCACAAATTATATTCATTCACCAATAACAATTTTTTTATATCTATTTATAATTTAAATTGATTATAATTCATTCCTAAACAAGCACATGTTCTATTTTAAAAGGAAAATCGTCAATCTTATTAAGAAAGTAGCTACACACACATATACATTTATTATTTTTTTTTGTATACATTTATGTGATTTAGAATTTATTCCTTAATATGTCCAAGTAAGATTGCTCATTTGAGCACATCGATCTTGAAATTCACATACTAACTTGAGCTATAAACGACCAAATTGCTTAATTGAGCGAATAATGCTACTTGCACAAAATTAGTTGACAAAGTTGATTTACAAAACAACATTTACATCAATCATTTAAAAAATATTTTTTTTAAATCATTTGAAATCAAATGCCAAGATTCTGCCAACACTTATTTTGTTAACCATTTTTGTCAACTTATTTTGTACAACTAGATTAATTGTATTTGAGCTTAATGGATCTTGATAGCATATTAAGACTTCAGGTTTCATCTTTAAACCTTATTAGAGGAGTAGTCCGATGTTGAAAAAAAAAAAAATAATAATAATAATCTCACAAGACAAAAACAGATGCAACATAAATGAAAACACAAAACGAACCAAGGAAAAAAAACACAAATTTAACGTGGTTTAATAAATTTCTAGATGATCACACAAAAAGAAACTTCGTTTGATGAAAAAGTCAAGATTTTTCACACTCTCACAAATTCTCTCTTTACAAAATTAGAACATCAAACGTATCACAAGCAACGCGTAGACATTTTTTCTAGTTTTTTTTCCTCATTTTCTCTCCAACTATTCCTCTCTACCACAATCCAGTTAGCTGCCAAAAGCTTTCGGCTGTCGTATACTATGTTTGGTCAATGTGCAACTATGTATTGGAATTTCTTGCCAAAGTCATCTAATTTCAATGAACTTCACTTCCTAATTACCTAAAAGTCAACTTCCCTAGCATATGGCTATCACTTTTTAAATTCATTTTTAATCACACATTTTATAAAATTCACAATTTTTTATTTTTCAATCGGATTTTTCATCAAATTTTTTTTATCAAAATCTACTAAATGTTTGATTTTTAACCAAGAGAAATATATATATGAACAGAAATACTATCATATAAGCTTTTTGTTGAGAATTTAGATCAATTTAGGGGGAAAAATTAGTTAATTTTATAATTGAAAAAAAGTAAAAATTGTCATTACAATATTTGCAAATTATCGTATTTTTGAAATATAAAAAAGTACTTACGATTAGAATTGTCATTTACTAGTATAATTAGTACAATATTTTAAATAAATCAAGTTGACTGGGCCGATCGTCATGAATCAATAGGTTGAAAAATCCAATTCGGCACAACCCGCCATAATTGGCAAACACCCATGAACATGCTCGAAGCATGTTAGACTAGTTTCAATTTAAATTGTTAATGGACCAAGTCAACGACTTATCACGAGCGTTCATTGTCCATCCATTTTAACACTAATTGATCACAATTCACACCTCCCAAATTTTGTTGACTTGACGTGATAAATAACGTTATTTAGTGACATGTTGGCACGTAGGAATTAACATTAATATTTTTAATCGAGTGACTATTAATCTAACAGTTGAAAACAATTAACAAGAAAATAACTTCAAACGCCATTGGCATAATTAATCCGTTGTGGTCAACGGTATGAATTTCTATCCATTTTGGCTATGAGACAAATCTTAGCTTAGTAAAAGCATGTTCTTTTATTTGACGATTAAAATGAGGTGGTTACAGGTAAACGTTTGTGCTTTTTCGCTTTCGCAGTGAAAACCATCCTTCTGCTATATATATACCCATTAAGCGAATCTTATTCAAGACAGCAAGTGTCTCTACTTAGCAAAAATAGAGATAGTAGAAAATCTCCTTGATGCTCAGTTCTTCTTCTTAAAAGTTGTTAACGAAGAACTTGCAAAAGGCACTGAGCTCAATAACTGGGAATGAAAATGAATATGAAGAAGAATAGTTCTATTTGGTCAATTTTCAGTCATGCAGATGGGTTTGATATTTTCTTGATGATTATGGGATTCTTGGGAGCAGCTGGTGATGGAATTTCAATTCCATTAATGACGTATATCACTGCAAAGCTGATGAACAATATTGGTGCTCAGAACGCCTCAATATTTAAATATTTCACGGAAGTCGTCAATCAGGTTCCTTCTCTTCGTTCTTCTATTTGTGCCAAATGTGACTTCTATTTTTGTAGCATAGTGTTAAAATTTGGAATATGTTGCCTTCTACACGTGAGCGAAGCAATTATATCCTCTAATCCTCAACTGCTTTCACATTAATTAAGATTACAGGAGCGAAGCAATTCTCAGACATTAATAAATAATGCAAAAGTGAATCCCGTAATAGTGGTGAGCAGAATGGAAGCAGCCTAAATCGTGAAAACGGGGTTGGGAGATAGCTATCCAATTCCTACGGATAAGTAAGTAGGCAAGGAGAGACTCTTACTCTAATTAAAAAAGCATAGGAAAATGGCACTTTCATTGGTATAGATAGCTTCCATTATTAATGACACATTGAATCTTTGTGCCTAGCGGTATGGTTGTGGTATATGTAAACATAGATCAATTTATAAGAGCTTGTACTACCATTCTTAACGAGGTTATGACCTTTTAAAATGGAACACCAAATCTTAATATGGTATTAGAGCCTACTAAACTCATACGAGCCATGATCTATTAAGGGATAAAATTCCATATTGAATAAAGATGAAAATATATACCAATTTATAAGGTTTAAGCTCAGGGGCGAAGCCAGGAATATACGCTGCGGGTGGCTATGGTGCTCGGATTCGGCTACAGGGGGCATTTTTTTTTTAAAAAAAAGTTGATGTAATTCAAATATAAAAAAAAAAAAAAAAAAATTTCTTATAATATAACATTATCTAAAATTGCACCTAACAAGATTTACATCATAAAATTATCTATAATAAATCTACATATAAATTCTCGTTCGATGTAAAGTTTCATTCAATCAACAAGAAAACTATTATCCATTTTGTTCCAAAAAGTAACTAAACTAAGAAAATCTCATCACTAGTATTCAAGACGATGAATTGAAGGACCACACGAGTGCGACCGTGCGAGCTAAAAAAATCGGGTGTGTAGATCAAGAAGTTTGAAAATAGAAACACATGAATTAATGTATAACAAAAATGTTAAATATATCATGATCAAAAAAATGTTAATTATATATACTCAATTATGAAACACTATAAAAAAAAATTTAATACATGAAAGTAAATTAATATGTATGCACATATACACTATCAACAAAAAGTCAAAGTGTTGGGCATATGGGCTTATTTTCCTCAAAATAATAGTAATATTGGGTTGGGACTGGCTGTGCAATTGGGCTGTTGTTGGATTGATGATGGCTAAGTGATTAAATTTCTATTTTTAATGGACCATTCCTTCCATTTTCTTGGATATGGGCTTGGGCAATATTGGGCTACAGCCCAGTAGAGCCCTCCCACATCTCCGCCCTATTTAAGCTACTCCTCTTAATAAAGTTTACCTGTGAGGGTGGAATCCTAAATTTTAATAGAATCAAATTTATGGAACATCATTTTCGTGTGTATAAATTTCTCATTCTAGTAATTTAAGTTAAATTACAATTTTTACAATGTAAATTGTTATAAATCGGACCAAATTTGAAACAACTTTAATGAAAAAGGAATAGTTCCGATAATAATTTGTTATGAAAAGATAAAAGATTAAGACAATTATATAAAGTACAGATCACAAGAACACAAGAAGAAAATAATTTACAGAGAATGAATATTTTATTATAACTAGTTTTGCACCCGTGCAATGCATGGGCTATATCATTTTTTTAGATAATATTAACGTGTCAAAATATCTATTCATTTCTCTCAATAAATCTACAAATTTTATTAATTGTTTAAAATGATAAATAGAAATGTAATATATATGATACACACTCTGCATCATCATATACTATTATTAATCGATAATATACATGAGTGTACTTGAGAGTTCAAGTTGAAGCTAAAAGAGTTCATATTTGTCCAAAATAATCGATACACATAAGATATATGAAAAAAGAGTTACCGAAACTTATATATGATATCTTTTGAACACACATGTTTGATGTACATTTAACTATTTTCGATATTTATTTAGATAATTCAATGTCTATGATATAGTTCTCAAAATAATATTTGAGAGAATATAGAAGATTTATGCATTTGACTGCTGTACAATCGTCGATAGATTTTTAAAATTAACTTGTTATTGAAATTCTTAATTTTTTAAATGATATCTCTTTTGATATTAACAAAAACTTAAAAGTTTATTAGAAAATTTTCTAAATGACGTCAAAAATTTTATTATACTATTTAAAAAATTAATTGATCGAAAGGAAAAAGTAGCAATAAGAAAAAAAAAATTCCTAAAAATAATTAAATTTCTTTTATATATAAAATTTTTTCAAATGTTAAAATAATTAAGATGAAAAATTAGTTGGCCTCAATTTTGTGTTTTTATAATTGAAATGTATTTTCTGGAGATAGGATAAATGCTCATTTGATGCATGGATTAAAAACCAAATTTGAAGCTCATAATTTATATATCAAATATTATTTTGGTTTGAGTGATTATTTTACATATAAATGACGTATTTGATGATAAATATATTTAATATAATTAAATTGTGTAATTAATCGATTTTTTTTATTGTTCAATATCCAATCAATTTAATGAATTTTTTTCATTTACGTGTAATATTATTTTATCGAAGATTCTGCTATTGAAAATGAAAGAGAGAAAAATGGAAAAAAAAAAAAAAGATTTAATGGAGCCAAACACAACTTGAGCCACAATATAATATTTTGTCACTTAAATGTCGTTGAGATTTTTATTTGATCATCCAATTTTGATATATTTGATTTAATCCTTCAAAATTTATATACATTTAAAATATTCAATATCGTCAAATAAATTAATCGACATATTTTTGACCAAGTATTAAATTTTTTCAACATTGTGTTAAGTTTTACTTTGATTTATCGCAACTGCATTTAACAAATAAACAATATACATGATTCAACATACTCTGTATCAAGTTATAAGGGTAAAATATATTTGAATAAAAAAAATATATCAATCACCAAGAAAAAAGGGAAAAAAATTTATTATGAAAATACTCATGCATCATGGAGCAATTAATTTGCTCTTGGGACCTAGGAGCAATTTTTTCCATGCATCATGGAGCAAATGCTCTGTGATGCATGGAGTTGCTCCGTGACTCTTTTTTTTTTTTTTTTTTTAAATGATGCTCAGTGTCAATTTTTTTTGTTATTTTTTTCATTGGGTGATTTATTTATTTTTTATAAAAATCTACCATAAATCTTCACAAATCTTTTATATTCTCTTGAAATTCATTTCGAGAACTATATCATAGACACATCGAATGATCTAAATGAATAACGAATATAGTTAAACGTACATCAAACGTGTGTGTTAAAAATGCGTATAATTCATCATTTTTCTTTAAAAAATCAATTATTTTAATAATGTTTATTATTTTTTCGCGATAATTTTCTCAATATAATTTACATCATTTTCTTAAAAAATTTATGTGTATGACGTTAACTTTTTTTTTAAGACGTAAAAATTCAAATCAGGCAAAACGAGGAATCAAATCCTTTAGGTAGCACACTATTTTTGACTTTTTGTTATTTTGTCTACATACAAAAAGGCCATTAGACCCTTAGTGTGAGAGTTACTGTGCGAGAGAGTTGGGAATAAAATGGGAAACACCTAAATACGTCCTGAATGAACAATAACCGGCTAGTCCATTATTTTAAGATAGTAGTGAGAGTAGTGATTGGTCAAAAGAGTAGAGATATTATTAATTGTTTGAGAACAAAATGGGAAATGAAAATACTTCAAAAATGAATAGTAAATGGCATATTGAAAAAGAGTAAAGATTTTGTTAATTGTTTGAGAACAAAATGGGAAATGAAAATACTTCAAAAATGAATAGTAAATGGTATATTGGCTCTTTTAAGATAGTAGTGATATGGAGAAAGAGAACAAAGATTATGTGCTTACAATATTTCTAACTTATAATGAAGTTAAACAACCCAATTAAATTATATAGAAGAGTCAAAAATATAGAAGGAACAATCCAAACCCTAAAAGTAGAGTTGTAGATGAAATAAGATGCCTATAAATTTTCTTATCTTGATTTCTTGAAGTTCAACACAAAGTCTAACTCCCAATAGGCTTCCAAATAGAATTTCAATTAGAATTTGTCCAATAGTCTTCGAATAGGATTTCAAAAACCTTCCAAAATTGAATAACTCTTGACGTGCAATTCAATTAGAACTCTTAATTATTTTCAACAAAGAATTCAAGTCACACCCAAATTCTAATATAAATGACTAAGCAAATTATCTTAGTTTGTTTCCTTATTTGAGTCATCTAATTGTCGAAGTTGCGAATTGATATAGTTCACTCTATGCTAATATTGTCACTTGGAATTGGATTTTTTGGGTGACAGAATGCATTGGGTTTCTGTTATCTAGCTTGTGGGCAATGTGTTGCTTGTTTCCTTGGTAGGTCCCTCTTACCCGTGGATGATACTAGATCCAACTAAAAGGAAGGTTTGAAATTGAATCAAATTTAAATTTGTTTTTCTCTAGAGGGTTATTGTTGGACAAGAACAGCCGAGCGACAGGCTTCACGTTTAAGAACTAGTTATTTGAAAGCAGTGCTTAGGCAAGATGTCGGCTATTTTGATTTGCATGTATCCTCTACAGCAGATGTCATAGTAAGCGTTTCCAGTGATAGTCTTGTAATTCAAGATGTCATTAGTGAAAAGGTTGGTCAATCTTGTTTCTTTCAATTTTTATGATATGTTTGTACGATATGCTAATTAATTAGGTAGTTGATTTCAAAACAAATCAGGTTCCAGTTTTTTTGATGAATTCCTGGACTTTTGTGGGGGCATATATAATGGCCTTCTTGATGGCCTGGAGGCTAGGGGTTGTGGGACTTCCATTTGCAATATTACTTGTGATACCAGGTTTGATTTATGGAAAATCTCTGATGGGCATTGCACAAAAGATTAGGGATGAGTACAGTAAGACAGATACAATTGTGGAGCAGGCTATTTCTTCCATTCGAACAGTCTACTCATTTGCAGCGGAGAGCAAGACTCAAGCTGAGTATTCTGCTGCTCTTCAAGGGACTGTAAAATTGGGATTAAGGCAAGGTTTAGCCAAAGGTTTGGCTATTGGTAGTAACAGCATCGTCTTTGCAATTTGGTCTTTTATTTCTTATTATGGTAGTACATTGGTCATGTATCACGGAGCTAAAGGAGGAACTGTCTTTGCAGTTGGTGCCACTATTGCTATAGGTGGATTGTAAGGATTTCTTTCCATTTCTATACATATAGCACCCTTCTTATTTGTTAACGTCAGTACTATTACCTAATTAAACATATTGTCTATGAATTTACTAGTCATGGTTTTTGTTTCTTGTGGAACAGAGCGTTGGGTACTGGTTTGTCTAACCTTAGGTACTTCTCCGAAGCAATTGCAGCTGGAGAACGCATAACGGAAATCATATCAAGAGTGCCAAAAATTGATTCGGACAACAAAGAAGGCCTAACATTACAAAATGTTATGGGAGAAGTTGAATTTAAACATATTGAATTTGCATACCCATCGAGGCCTGACAGCATTATTTTCAAAGATTTCAATTTAAAAATCCTAGCAGGAAAGACAATGGCATTGGTTGGAGGAAGTGGGTCTGGAAAGTCAACAGTGATTGCTCTATTGCAGAGATTTTATGATCCACTCAATGGTGAAGTTCTTCTTGATGGGGTTGCCATTGATAAGTTGCAACTGAAATGGCTAAGATCACAAATGGGACTGGTTAGTCAGGAGCCAGCCCTATTTGCTACCACAATTAAAGAGAACATACTTTTTGGCAAAGAGGATGCATCTTTTCAAGAGGTTATTGAGGCTGCCAAAGCTTCCAATGCTCATAATTTCATTACTCAATTGCCTCATGGTTATGATACTCAGGTATGCCTCACATGTCTTTTTGTTCCTTTCTTTTGTTATTGATAAATCACTCTTATGATGGCTTTTGATATCCTTATTTTTTTGATTTTTCTAGAATTCAACATATTTTAAATTATTGATGTGGTGTTCCCGCCTTTGACCATCCACTAAACTATTAAAATTTTCAGGTTGGTGAGAGAGGAGTACAACTATCTGGCGGGCAGAAGCAAAGAATTGCTATAGCAAGAGCCTTGATCAAGGAACCGAGAATTCTCCTACTTGACGAAGCAACCAGTGCTCTAGACTCTGAATCGGAGCGAGTTGTTCAAGAAGCACTTGATAAAGCTGTTGAAGGACGCACCACCATTATCATAGCACACCGTCTTTCCACAATCCAAAATGCTGACATAATTTCTGTTGTCCAAAAGGGAGAGGTCATGGAGATTGGCTCACACAACGAGCTTATCGAGGATAAAAATAGTTTATACAGTTCGCTTGTCCATCTACAGCAAACTGAGAACAAAAAGGAATCTACAAATGTTAATAGTGTTGCTACATCAGTAACTACTACAAATGATATTCATAACTCAGATAGTAAAAGACTATCAATTGTTGGTGAGGCCAGTACAAGTAACACAGCAGTGCCGAGCAAAGGAGCGAAGATTGCCATAATTTCTAGTAATGAAGCTTTACTCGTACCTTCATTTAGAAGACTACTGGCTATGAATTTGCCCGAATGGAGGCAAGCGATATTAGGATGTATTAGTGCAATGCTATTCGGTGCAATTCAGCCAGTTTATGCATTTGCTATGGGATCATTGATATCTGTGTACTTTCAGACGGACCACAGCATAATTAAGAAAAAGACGGCAATATATTCTTTGAGTTTTCTTGGGTTGGCAATTTTCGCGCTGTTGATCAACATTTTCCAGCATTATAATTTTGCTGCCATGGGGGAGTATTTGACAAAAAGAATTAGAGAGAGAATGTTTTCAAAGATACTCAGTTTTGAAGTTGGTTGGTTTGATCAGGATGAGAATTCCACTGGTGCTATTTGCTCTAGACTAGCCAAAGATGCTAATGTGGTAAGTTTATTAAATACTCTTCTATAATGAAGTAACAAATTTTGTCTGCTAAGAGAAAAAATATTGCAAATTATATTCTTCATTATCTTTTTAATTTTTTTCTGCTACAAAATACATACAAGTAGTTATAGCATGTGCTATATTGACGAGTTCAGTTCTAATATAATTCATTTTAACTTCTTTCCGAAGATAGAAGAAGTAAGTAAATGTCCAAATCTTTCAATATGCCAAATTTTTGGGTTACATGATCTTAAAATTTCAATAAACAAATTTGCATTTTGATGGCTGAGCAGTGTTTATTACAGTGTCATAACAGGATTAGCCAAATGACCCTCAAAATGCCCTATTAGATGGAGATTGTGTCTTCAAAATGGAGCAATCTATTTGGAATTCTGTGAAATAGCATTTTTAACACATCTTACCATCTGGAAACAACAACTAAGTACCATCTTGCCTAGTCCTATGTGTCTGAGAAAAGATTAGTGCAGTGTATCTATAAAATGGAGAATACTTCAAGTACCATATCTTATTATCTTATATCGAATCTAATAACAATTTGTTGCCTTATATTTCTACAGGTCCGATCATTGGTGGGTGATAGGATGTCACTTCTTCTCCAAACTTTTGCAGCAGTGACCATTGCTTGTACCATGGGATTGATTATAGCTTGGAGGCTCGCATTGGTAATGATAGCAGCACAACCCATTATCATAATATGCTATTATTGCAAGCGTGTCTTGCTCAAAAGCATGTCCAAAAAGGCCATCAAAGCCCAAGATGAAAGCAGCAAGCTTGCAGCGGAAGCTGTTTCCAATATTCGTACTGTCACAGCCTTCTCCTCCCAAACAAGAATTTTACAGATGCTCGAGAAATCCCAAGAAGGCCCACAAAAAGAAAATATTCGCCAATCATGGTTTGCAGGTATAGGGCTTGGGACCTCTCAAGGCCTTATGACATTAACTTGGGCTTTGGATTTCTGGTATGGTGGTAAACTGGTTGCAGAAGGCTTCATGGGATCAAAAGCGTTGTTCCAAACGTTCATGATCTTGGTGAGCACAGGCCGTGTTATAGCCGATGCCGGGACTATGACAAATGATCTAGCTAAAGGTTCTGAATCAGTTGGATCGGTTTTTGCAGTGCTGGATCGACGTTCTTTAATTGAGCCAGAGGATCCAGAAGGGCACAAACCTAATAAGTTAACTGGACATGTGGAGTTGAAAGATGTTGATTTTGCCTACCCTGCAAGGCCTGAAGTGATGATCTTCAAAGGATTTTCAATTATAATCGAAGCCGGAAAATCAACAGCACTAGTTGGAGAAAGTGGCTCTGGAAAATCAACCATAATAGGTTTGATTGAAAGATTTTATGATCCAATTAAAGGAGTAGTGAAAATCGATGACTTGGATATAAGGTCATATGACCTAAGGTCAATGAGGAAGCATATTGCACTTGTAAGCCAAGAGCCCACATTATTTGCCGGAACCATACGTCAAAATATCACATATGGAGCATCAGAACACGTTGATGAAGCTGAAATCATCGCAGTAGCTAAGGCAGCAAACGGCCATGATTTTATTGCAAGTTTGAAGGATGGGTACAATACATGGTGTGGCGATAGAGGGCTACAACTATCCGGCGGGCAGAAGCAACGAATTGCAATAGCACGAGCCATTTTGAAAAATCCAGCGATTTTGTTACTAGATGAGGCCACAAGTGCGTTAGACAGCCAGTCAGAGAAGGTAGTTCAAGATGCGCTTGAGCGTGTGATGGTTGGGAGGACCAGTGTAGTTGTGGCACACAGGCTAAGTACCATACAAAATTGTGATATGATTGCTGTTTTAAGCAAAGGAAAAGTGGTAGAACAAGGAACTCACTCTTCCTTGTTAGCTAAAGGGCCAAAGGGAGCGTACTATTCATTAGTTAGTCTCCAAAGAACTCCTAGCACTCAATTAACCAATTGATTCACTGTTTATTATTTGAGCACTTAATATTCCACTAAATTGTAAATGGAATGATATTCTATTGACTTTCTCATTCCATTAAATTCCAGTGTACAGAGTATTGGAAGTGTAATGAAATAATTTCAGTTTGTGGAGTTCTCTTTGTTCGATAACTTAAGGTGCTATCTTAAAATCCACATTCACAACTTTCACTCAAAACTCCATGACATCATGACCTTCATTTTCGACATCGACGCGGGTAAGTTATTTTTAGCTGTGTTATGTGAAATTTAGAAACAGGTTCCATTATATCGATTTTTTTACAAGTTACTGTTGAAGCGCTCCCACTATCTCCGTCTCCACATTCATTGTTTGGATGTTTTTATTTGAATACGAGGGATTACTACTGCTGCTTGTATACTTTCATTGATTGGCAAAGGAATGCGTGATAATTTTATGCTCATTTTTTGGTTCTACTGCTGTTATTTTTTGGTCTCAAAATTTTAGTCTTTCTAGAAAATTGTTTGTAGTTAATCAATTCTATAAGGTGAAGAATTCTTGGTTTCTGGAAGAAGTTAATTTTAGAATTGAAGCAGGGACTTGAATATGTGATCGAGTTTCTGGTTCGATTCAAATGATATTCCTATCATTTGGCCATTCTCACAATTTCCGTTTAGAATTTGCTTTAAAATGAGTAGAGATTAATATTCAAAAGTTTTTGAACTCAAGCTTGTGAAATGGAGCTTTCGTGTTTAATTTTTATCACTCAAGATTTATTTATTTTGAACCACAAAAAGTAATGGATACTGTAGTTATAAGCATTTATAACTATGTCAACTTATAATTTGTTTACTTGAACCATAAAAGTAGTGAACCCCAAAAGTTATAAGCATTTATTAACACGCCAAAAAATGTGCTTATGTATCAAATGAATGATCTCCTAAGCATAGTGCATAGTTTATGTTAAGCACCGGTGACATGGCTAAGTATCGATGTTTAGGAGATCATTTTCGTGTATATATATACGTACATGGAGAGCAAATCTTATTTTATCACCATTGTAAAATTTCCAACAACAAAATCAAATTGTGCTAATTTACTATAATGAAAGAATACTTTAACTAAAATAAATCAAGTTGTTGGCAATTTTTGTATTCACTCGTTTTGCCAAATCTTAATTGTTAGTACCCAAGATTTATTATTATTTACAATTAACAATGAATGCCAATTAGTAATGATTCTTGATCAACAAAATAGTTGATTCCAAATAATATTGATATTGGACCAATAAGAATTGGAACAAGTCTAAGTTCTATAATTTTATTTAATAAACCACCATTGCTTACAACGATTTTAAACATATTTTTAGGAAGTACAAGGGACAATGTCAACCAAATTAAATACGACACAACATTCTAAACTACTAAAACTAAAGAGACAAATAATATTCGAATTTGTGAGCCATCAATTATTGTATCGAGATTTTTTAACTTGTGTTACATCATCCTCCCAAGAAAAAGAGAAAATGAGCATTTGGATATCGAAATCCAAGATAGGACATCAAGCTATCGAACAAAGAGAAATCCACAAACTAAGCATTATTCTCATTGCACTTGAAGTCGACTCTGTATATTGGAATTTTAATAAAATGAGAATGTTATTAGAATATCATTCCATTTACAATTTAGCAGAATATTATGTGCACAAATAACAGATAATGGACTCAATTACTTAATTGGGAGTTCTTTGGACACTAATGCATAGCACGCTCCATTTGGCCCTTTAGCTAACAAGGAAGAGTGAATACCTTGTTTTACCACTTTCCCTTTTCTTAAAACAGTAATCGTATCACAATTATGTATGGTACTTAGCCTATGTGATACAACTACACTAGTCCTCTGCACCATCATACGCTCAAGAGCATCTTGCATCACTTTATCCAATTGGGAGTCTAACGCATGTGCTATGGCAATTCGTTGCTTCTGTTCATCGAATAGCTGTGGCCTTCTATTGCTGCACCATGTATTATACCCATCCTTCAAACCTGAAATAAAATCATGGGCATTTACACAATGATCTCAGCTTCATTGATGTGTTCTAATGCTTCATATGTGATATTTTGATGTATGGTTTCGACAAATAGTGTGGGCTTTTAGCTTACAAGTGAACTGTGCTTCTTCAATGATCTAAGGTCATATGACCTTATAGGAGGCCGTCAATTTTTGCTAGACATTTAAGTGGATCATATAATCTTTCAATCAAATCTATTGTAGTTGATTTTCTAGAGCCCCTCTCCCCAACCAATGCTGTTGATTTTTTAGCTTTAATTATAACTGTAAAGCTCGTGAAGATCATTGCATTGTAGGCAAAATCAACGTCTTGCAACTCAATTTTTGCCAGTTAACTTATTAGGCTTGTAGCCTTCTGGATCCTCTAGCTCAATTAAGGAACACTTATCTAACTGATTAGCTAGATCATTTGTCATAGTCCCAGCTTCAGCTATAATGTGGCCTATGCTAAGTCACTGACCAAGATTAATGACATTTCGAATAGTGCTTTTAATCCTATGTAGATAGCCTTCTACAACTAGTATTCCACCGTACTAGAATCTAAAGCCCAAGTTTATGAGAGGTCTCAAGCCCTATACCTGCAAACCATGATTGGTGAATATTTTCCTGGGAAAAATTCACAACTCAGGTATTAAATTGCAATGTACAAAGTCTATTGCAAGTGTAATGAAAATAATGTTCTGTTTGTTGAGTTTTCTTAGTTCGATAACTTAAGTTGCCATATTACAACCCACATTCACAGCTTCTACTCAAAATTCATAAATTCATGTTCATGCGAAAATTTTGAAATGGGTTCCACTAAATCGATTTTTTTATAAGTAATTGTTGAAGTGCTCCCACCATCTCCTTCTCCACTGTTAGGATTTTACTGCACTGGCAATTTTTTAGACAAATGACTAATATGAAAATTTATAAAAGTCAACAAGTCAATTGAAATTTTTTATAGATGAAATAGGTAACTTATGTTCGAGTTTGTAACAAGGAAGAAAGAGTCGTCGATTTTACGCTAGCCTATAATCCATCTGATGCTCGATGGAAAAAACAGAAACACTGTCACCTAGCTCTCACTTGATCTACACACTGATCACCCTCCTGTCACTAGCTTGGCGCTCGAGCGAAGATGTTATGTACAAAACTCTAGTTTGTATTTTTCAAGAGTTTTATCTAGCCCATACTAACTAATTGCCTTCTACTATATATACCCAAGACCTATCACTTTTTTGTGTGGTTGTTCATTAGATTCCTTCTCCATGTCATTATTCAAAGATTCAAGAACATAATCAAGCCTTAGATTGATCCTTTGATTCTAGAGTCCATTCAACCACATCTGGAAAAAAAACATTTAATTTACATAATCCAAAATACCCACTTCCTATATACATATAGGAATGTACTTTCTCAAAAGCTTTTGGAGGTTGCTAAAGTTTGAGAGAGGTTGAACTAGAAGCACATGAAGAGTACAAGAACAAGGCCCTTTTGGTGATCCACAAGGGATAGACAATTCCAGAAGATTGGGAATAGGTGCAGGTGAAGCATGTTCCAGTGGGTCTTGGATATCGCAAGAAGTAGATTAGTGAGTCTAGTGAGATTTCTAGGTTAGATCGTACTGTAAGTTCATTATTATCTATAATGGAGGTTACTGGCTTGATCCAACGTTTTCACCCAATTGGGTTTCTCGGTCAACAATTCTTGTGATTGCTTTCATATTACAAATTGTAGCAGTTCAACATAGGATAAATTGACTTGATTGACTAAACATCTAGAACAATTAATAAGTGACTTGTTGCTGTTAATTGATAATTTTAATTCTGCAGTTTTTCCATATTCACCACCCTCTAGTGTTAGATGGGTCGAACTTCATTATTTTCAAGTGATCATGCTACACTTATAAAAATTTTTTTACAAAATTCTTTACTCACTACTCACAATAGGAGGTCGGGACCATGAGCCGACATTTTTTAAATTCACATGAGGGCCACTTGTTTGTGAAAGTAAGTAACATATTTTGTATACATTTGTTTGTACATATATTTTTATCCATTTTCAAAGGGTATTAGAGCCCAAATTGGATTCTTGACCCTAGTTTATCTATATGAGTAGTTCATCATCTATTCCACCAAATTTTGATGGCGATAACTACACGTATTGAAAAGTTAGAATGAGAGCTTTCCTAAAATTGATGGATGAGTGTATTTGGTTGAACGTGATAAATGATTGAACTATCCCTTCTAGCATCGTTGATGGTATAGTCACCACACTTCTATAGCAAAATTGGTCGAAGACAAATTTAGATGAGTTGCAATTGAAATAGTAAAGCTTTACATACCTTACTTATGGTAGTGTCCCCTGATGAATTTAGGTGAGTGTCTATGTTTGAGATTACAAAAAAGGTTTGGGATATTTTATAGACCATACATGAGAGAACTCAAGTTGTTACGACCTCTACGTTACACGTATTGACCACTAAGTTTGAAGAGATTAGGATAAAGGATGATGAGACCTTCGATGACTTCTATGCGAGCTTGAATGACATAATTAATTCCTGGGCCTAAGATTGTCAAAAAAATCTTTAGATCTTTGCTTGAGAGATTTAAGCTTAACATCATGGTTATAGAGGAGAGCGATGACATAGATGCTATTAAGGTTTACGTAGCCTTTCGTAAATCTGATGCTCGAGCAAAAAACTAGAAACACTGTCGCCTACCTGTCGCTGGGACAAAATGAAGGTTAGGGATCTTCGTTGGCATAAAATGTAGGTTAGGGTAAAGTCTGCAAAAAATGAAAATATTTGGAACCGTAGTTGCAATTTTTCCTAACTAAAGGTATTAAAACTTAAGCTATCTTATGACTTGCTTGTGCATTAGGTTATGTGACTTTTCGTCCTGTGCAATTCAGTTAATTTAAGGTCAGTTACAACTATCAAAAGCGGAGTGAACTCTTAATGATGTCATTCTATATTGTGTGTAAGAAGAAGAAAGGCTAAAACAGGATAAAAATGATATTACTCATTAGGTAAGTACCTCTAAGGATAAGTTAAAGAATAAGAAAGCTGCATCCTATTCGGTTCAAAAGAAACGACAAAAGCT